CGCGGAGCACAGGCTCCGGACGCGCAGGCCCAGTGGCCACGGCTCACAGGCCCAGCCGCTCCGCAGCACGTGGGATCTTCCCGGACCGGGGCACGAACCCGCGTCCCCTGCATCGGCAGGCGGACTCCCAACCACTGCGCCACCAGGAAAGCCCCGCCGAGGTGTTTTTTAAAAGGAATGAAAAGCGCTGCTCCAGATATTTTGAAAGATGCTCTTTTTAATATTTTAGTGAATATCTCAGCAGAATCTTTATTTGAAAGCACGTTTGTAGATACAGGTCAGTCGTCCAGTTCTCTTAAAGATCCCATCTGCGCCATCATCTAGTCCTGTTGAATTCTAAGTGCTTATAAAACTCACAAGCAGTTTACAGCTCTGCATTCAGTGCTGATATTTAATCCTTTACAAATAAACATACGCAGATTTTCAGGTTGGCTGTGTGAAGCCTAAGTACCACCAAACATAATGTTCTACAATCTGGGAAGTATTTCTGTAATAGTTAATGGAGTCTAATAAGTGGATTGCTTTAGCTTTACCAGGGCCACCAATTCTTTTATACTGTGTCTATCAAGGGCAGTTTATATAAAGATAGTATCTTTTAAGTATGACTAATGAGATACAAAAAGGATGGAAGGAGTCTTGAATGACTTATGAGTTGAAAAAAATATATTTAAAGTTTTAAATTTTTATGCACTTAATGGTAAATATATATATAATATATAAAGGGAATCTTGACGAAATTATAAAGAAAAAAATATATGGCCATAGTGGGTGATTTTAACAGGCCTTTCCCAGTCATTGTTAAGACAAACAAAAGAAAAATCAGTAAGGGTATAGAAAATTTGAATAACGTGATGTACAAACTTGACCTAATGAATATACACAGAAAAACACAACCAAAATCAGAACATGTTTTTTGGAACGCAAACATGACATATTACCAAAATCAACTGTATACTTAGCTGTAAAGCAACTCTCAACGAATTTTAAAGATTGAAATCATTCAGCACGTTTTTTGAGCACAGTGCTGTTAAGCTAGAAATCAATAAAGAACAATAAAAACAAGTCCATGTAACCCATAGCCAAAGAGTCATAATGGTAATGAGAAAATTTTTTGAGGCAAATAATAAAATACAATAGCAACACCTGTGGAATAAAGTTAACGTATAATACGTAGAGGGAAGTTTATAGCCTTAAGTAAGTACATTAGAAAAGAGGCTGAAAGGTCTTTAGCTAAACATTCCCTTTCAAGAAGTTAGAAAAGGGAGAGCAAAATTAAGGAAAGTGGAAGGAGGGACATAATGCTGAAAGCAGAAATGAATGAAATGGGAAATGAAAGTAGTGGTGTGCCAGACACTGCCTGTACGGGCTCAAGAGAGCCAACTGTGCACACCTCTTCTGGTAGTGTTTTGTTTCGTTATGTTCAGAGCTAATTAACTAGCACACCACTGCATACAGTAGATTTTAAAAATCCAGAAGTTGATTTTTGTTTTTTGGAAAAGACTAATAAAATTGACAAATATTTAACAGTATTGAGCAATGAAAGGAGAGATGTTAACAACCTATGTCAATAACAAAAACTCTACTTTAGAAATCAAAACAGAACATCTTGTAAACAATTTGATACAAATAAAATGTAGATGATTGTACAAATCTCAAGAAAAACAACTAGCTGACTAAAGAGAAGAAAATATGAATAGTCCCAAACCATTAAAAATTTGAATCAGTAGTAATGAAGGTTCACACACAAATTCCAGGTCAATGGCTCCACTGGTAAGTTCCTTCAAACAGTGAAATAATTCCATTTTTATTGTATGAGGCTACCATAACTTTTGTACTAATTACAAAATCCCCAAACCTTGAAACATCAAACTCTTTGGAACTCATTTGCTGAAAAATGTAACTTAGTGTCACGATAGTCATTATTTATATATCACTTAGTTGACTACATGTTTTGCTGTAGAAATATTGATATTTTTGATTATAGGTACTGTCCCAGTTCTTGCTACATAGTATACATTGTACGTTCCATGGTACCTTTCCAATATCCAAAAAAGTCTGTATTCCAGAACACATCTGTCTCCAAGTATTTCAGATAAATTTTGTGGACCTGTATGGAAGAATGATTTTATGACTTTAGGATTGAGAATAATTTTTTTTTTTTAGCCATAAAGGAAAAGATCAATAAATTCAACTACATTAAAATTTAGGACTTTCGTTTACCAAATAACACCATAAAGTGAGTGGAAGAGTCACAATATGGGAGAAGAAGTTTGCAAAGCATATAACAAGGAATTAGTACCCAGAATATATAAAAAACACCTACATCAGGCTTCCCTGGTGGTGCAGTGGTTAAGACTCCACCTGCCAATGAAGAGGACATGGGTTTGATCCCTGGTCCAGAAAGATCCCACATGCCACGGAACAACTAAGCCTGTGCACCACAACTACTGAGCCTGCACGCTAGAGCCCGCAAGCCACAACTACAACTACTGAAGCCCACGCACCTAGAGTCCATGCTCCGCAACAAGAGATACTCTAATGGTAGTATAAATTGATACAGTCACTTTGGAAAACTGACTTTAGTAAAGTTGAAGATACACATTCGCAATCACTCAGCAATTCTATTCAGAATCTCTTGTATATGTGCAAGTTTGTAATAGCTAAAAACAACATACAATCCAAACATATCAACAATAGAATGGATAAATTATGATGTCATAAGGTGAAGTATAATGCACCAATGAAAATGAACAACTATAACCATTTATAATAATATGATGAATCTCAGTATTGAGTGAAAGAAGCAAGTCAATCAAAGAATAGATACCATGTGTTTCCACTTACATAAGGTTCAGAAATGCAAAACTGAACTCTCCTGTTCAGGATACATACATTAAATAGCAAGACTATTAAGAAAAGAGAAATGGGATGTGACCAGGGAGGGCTTCTGAGGGGCTGACAATGTTCTGTTTCTGAAACTGGGTATTTGTTTTATAATTATTCTTTAAATAAACTGTACAAGTAAATCTTATACACTCTTCTGTGAATGAGAATGAATATATGTCACACATATGCATGATATGTGTCATAATTTTTCAGTAAAGTAGAGTAGTTGGCCTGAGAAAGGTCATCTTTAGTACATTGATTCACAGAAAGGTAAGGTCATTCAGAATATTTATAGTGTGATTACTAAGTTTTTAATGGATTTACCATCTTATGTGGCCTTCAAGGTCAAAAGTCAGTAGTCTCTAGTGCTAACTGTCCCTTGGGCAGCTAAGCAATTCCTACTGGTCAGTAGTAGGCCTAGGGCAGAGATAAAGAAAGTATTACCAAAGAGATTCAATGAATTGCAGTAATGCCCCTTCCCCCACCAGCTTACTCTCAAGGAGCTCTGTGGTCTAGCCAACAGAGCAAAAACAACTAGAAGAGAGAAATTTTGAGGTGTAGCTATGGTTAAAAAAAAAAAAAAATTATATATATATATATATATATATATATATATGTATGTATGTATATATATGTATGTATGTATATATGTTAATAACAACAGCAATAATGCAGGATAAGAGTTGGAGAGGCCACATTCACCTTACAAAATTTGGAAGACTATGGGCAAGTAAAAGAATGTGGGTGCCATGAGATGATTTCAGATGTGCTGTTTTGATACAGAGAGGGTGTAATCTCCAACCTATGTTTGGAGGAGAGAGGAGGCGAAGAGAAGTCAGTGTGAAGCGGTGGAAGACGTGTCGTGTTACCATCGAGAGGAGTTTCACGTGGGTGTTCTCCGGTCTGAACTAAGTTGCTCCCCAAACCAGTGGTGGGCAGGGCCAGACAGACCCAGGAGCACTGAAAATGTATGTGTTGTTTTTCTGTTGCTGCCCACAGA